TTTTTTTTTTCCATGTCATTAGTCAAGCAAAAAAAAGAATTGATTTTGTGGCATTTTAATGTGCCACCTATCATTTAACTGACGGAAGGACCATTTTGGTATCGAAAATGAAAGTTTAAGGATAATTTGGTACCTTTTAAAGTTGATGGACAATTTTGGTGCCAACGTGGAAAGTTGAGGGACCAAAATGGTACTTTAACCGCTTTATGGAGTAGCACATCAAATTATTGGTTTATACTATTTAAAGACAACAGTTGGACCACTTGCACTAGAGGCCAATTTACAGTGATGACAACTTTTAACATGGACAACAACTAGTGATTGATGACAGCTTTCAAAATAGACAAGACCTAGAAATGGTAATAGGTCTTAGGGCCATACGAAAGTAGGTACACATCCCATCTCCATTTCCATTTCCAGCCCCATCACTTGTTAATGATAAGAATGAAGATTTTTATGAAAAATTTTCACAGACACATCCCATCCCCATTTTCATTCCAGCCCCATCACCTGTTAATGATAAGAATGAGGATTTTTATGGAAAATTTTGACGGACACATCCCATCCCCATTTCCATTTCCATTTCCAGCCCCATCACCTGTTAATGATAGGAATGCGGATTTTTATGAAAATTTTTGACGGACACATCCCATCCCCATTTTCATTTCCAGCCCCATCACCTGTTAATGATAGGAATGAGGATTTTTATGGAAATTTTTGGCAGACACCTCCCATCCCTATTTCCTTTTACAGCCCCATCACCTGTGCATGATAGGATTGAGGATTTTTATGGAAATTTTTGACGGACATATTTGATCCCAATTTCCATTTCTGGCCCCATCACCTGTTAATGATATGAATGAGGATTTTTATGGAAATTTTTTATGGACACCTCCCATCCCCATTTCCATTTCCAGCCCCATCACCTGTTAATGATAGGAATGAGGATTTTTATGGAAATTTTTGACGGACACATCCCATCCCTATTTCCATTTCCAACCCCATCACCTGTTAATGATAGGAATGAGGATTTTTATGGAAATTTTTGACGGACACATCCCATCCCTATTTCCATTTCCAACCCCATCACCTGTTAATGATAAGAATGAGGATTTTTATGGAAATTTTTTAGGTTTAAGTACCATTTTAGTCCCTTAACTTTACATTTTGGTACCAAAATTGTCCCTTAACTTTAAAAAGTACCAAAATTATCCTCAAACTTTCATTTTCGATACCAAAATGGTCCTTCCGTCAGTTAAATGACAGGTGGCACGTTAAAATGCCAGCAAATCATTTTTTTTTTTGCTTAACTCTAATGACATGGAAAAAAATATAATTGAATATGTTTTATTATGAGGTGACATTTTTTTACGGTGGCATTTTTTTACACGTCATATTATCATCTTTCTCCTTTTAATGGGACCCACATAAAAATTTATTTTCTCTTTTTCCAGTTTCAATCAAATT